CAATTCCAACTCATAGCTACCCCAAGGGACACAGAATGACTATCCCATAGGGTTTCCAAGGTGGTAACATTTACAGAAGGAGCCTTGATGGCATAGTGGTTAAGCACTTAGCTGTTACCTACCAGGCAGGCAGTTCAAACCACTAACCTCGCCTTGGGAGTCAATGAAGCAGTCTGCTTCGGTGGAGGTGGCAGCTAGTTTGGTGTTCTTGATGTTACAGAAGCCACATCTGTCCCTTGTGGAGTGGCTGGTGGGTTTGAATTTCCAACCTGTAGTTCAGCAACCAAGTACTTTAACCTTGCCCCTACCATGGCTTCCTACTTCAGAATAGTCCGGGGCTCTGTTGCAGTGCAGGAGCTTTTTATTATACTAAAAGTATTTTATTGTATAAAACTCTTGAAGTTATGCCATTTAACACATCACTTGTTACCCTGATATTAATTAACCTTATTAATAAATGTATTAATTTCCCCCATGAAAGACTTGCTGGTACTGTAAAAGATTTAATAGGCCTAGCTATCTTTGTTATTTTATTTACAATTAAAAATTTCAGATCAGAGCAGTAAGTCCCCAGTATTTGTTGGGTTAAACAGATAAAATTTGTCTTTGGTCCTTTCAGACTGTACTGGTCTTTCATTTGCTTCTTTTTATGCAAAAATATTAAAATAATTATAATACTTGTTTGGGTATAAATTCGACTAAATAGTCAAATGATCCCCCTTCTTCCCAATAAGAAGATAAAACTATAGGGCTTTAAGTCAACTTGAATTTGTAAACTTTTAAGGCTGTAGGCAAAATAATGAGATGTCTACTTAAAATAATTAATAAATTGATTATCTTAACTGTATAGTTATACGGGTTATATATTGATTTAGAAGTGTTTCCTAGTCTCCTCTTTTTTAATGAATCATTCCCCCACTCTTTATGGGAATCTTCAGTAGAGGTTCCCAGAACCTATTTCCTTTACTTTCCAATATTATTTTAGATCTGGTATTTTAAAAACCCAAATGTGTTACATCACTGAAATTGAATTCCATGCCACAAGCATTCAATCATGTATTAGGAAGTTCCTTTGCTTCTTTACCCCATGCCCTCCTTTTGTCTTAGAGGTGAATATTAATGATCTCTGTATCCATGGTCAGCTAATGTGTTTCTTTGTGAGAGTTATCTTTAAAAGGTTTATATACATTGATAGCATTTTGTACTTTCAATTAAAACATTATAACCTTATGGGTAGTTACTAAATCAGCAGTAAATTTGCCTGGCTCCAACTTTCTTAAAAGGTGTCTTTCAGGTTATTTCCACAAACATTCTAAACTAGCATTTCCTGAAAGAGTTTAAATCTTGTATTATCAAAAATTTATTTTATTTTTCACCCAACAGTGTTTTACTATTTAAGGTTAAATAATTAAGAAACTGTGTTGTAGTATGGGAGATTGCATAAGGTCTGGAAAAGCAAAAAACAAACCTTGCCTAACATTTATTTAGGCATCTGCAATATGCTTGTCCATCTTTCTGTGAAAGCCACTAATACCTAATTATAGGATACTTCTTCTTTTTAAAAATAGCTTTATTGGCATATAATTCATATGAGAGGAGGTGCCCCCAAAAATCTGGATTTTTTTTTCTCAAAGTGATGTTATTTTTTTCACTTTACACAACAACCTTATCACCTTCAATTTTTATTTAATACATTTGTCAAATCTGTGATTCCATTCTTGGAAACATTTTTCAAACTCATCTGTTTGGATGGCTGACAGCACCTCCCTCATTTTTTTCTTCACCTCTTCTATGTCATCAAATTGCTGTCCTTTCACGTCTCTCTTCATTCACAGAAACAAAAAGAAGTCTCAAGGAGTGAGGTTAGGTGTGTGCGGCAAGAGAGGCATGTTGTTTTCTGCCCCAAACTGGGGCATTGAGATGCCTGTGTGAGCCAGTATACTGTGGTGGTGGCAAAACCAGTCCTGTAGCTGCCACAAATCAGGCCTTTTTTGCTGCACACTGTTCTGCTATCTTTTCAGAACCTCAAAATAGAAAGCTTGATTAATAGTCTGATCTTGTGGAATGAATTCCAAATACACTATTCCCCTCACATCAGTGGAGGTTTTTTCTGTTTCTTTTAGGGGGGTGGTACCCCCTCATATGTGCCATCATACATTTTAATCATCAATATTAAGAAGTTATATAATTTTCTTCGCATATGCATTGTCAGCTCTCTCTTTCCCTCTAACCTCCCTTGCCATGCCCCTAGATTAACTGGATGGTTTCCATAAGTTTAGAAATTGGTCTTGGCAACAGAGTAGACTTTCCTTTTGCATTTATTAGATGAGATTAAAACTTTGGTGTCATTTTTACTACTGACTGGAGGTCAGGAACAGATATTTGGATGTCATTTCAGGCACAGAACCAGAGGGACTCAATGTAAATACGGAGATAAGAGCAGAGGCCCAGGAGGAAGAGAACCAAAAGGGTAGAATGTGTGAGGAAATGATAGACAACGAAAGCAAAACTAAAGGGGTTGGTGCACAAACCAAAACTCAAACTCCAAATTCATTTCCAATCCATAGTGACGCTATAGGACAGAGCAGAACTGTGAATTTCTAAGACTGTAATTTAAAAAAAATCATTTTACTGGGGACTCTTATAACAGTCCATACAACCATACATTGTGCCAAGCACATTTGTACATATTTTTCCATATCGTTTTTCAAAGCATTTTATTTGTACTTGAGCCCTTGTTATCAGCTCATATTCCCCATTCCCCCACCTTCCCTCCCTCATGAACCATTGATAATTTATAAAATTTGTTCATGTCTTACACTGACCGCTGTCTCCCTTCACCCACTTTTCTGTTGTCTGTCCCCTAGGGAGGAAGTTATATATAGATTATTATGATCGGTTCTCCCTTTCTCCCCCCACCTTTCCCTTACTCTCCTGGTATCACTACTCTCCTTATTGGTCCTGAGGGGCTTAGCTGTCCTGGATTCCCTTTGTTGTGAGCTCTCATCTGTACCAGTGTACATGCTCTGGTCTAGCTGGATTTGTAAGGTATAATTGGGGTCATGAGAGTGAAAAGGGGAAGGAAGTATTAAAGAACTAGACGATAATTGTATGTTTCATTGGTGCTATACTTCACCCTGACTGGCTCGTCTCTTCCTTGTGAGCCTTCTGTAAGGGGATATCTAATTGTCTACAGATGGGCTTTAGGTCTCCACTCTGTCCTCCCCCTTATTCACATCGATATGATATTTTGTTCTGGGTCTTTGATGTCTGATACCTGATCCCATCGAAACTTCATGATCATGCAGGCTGGTGTGTTTCTTCCATGTGGGCTTTGTTGCTTCTCAGCTAGATAGCTGCTTGTTTATCTTCAAGCTTTTAAGAACCCAGATGCTATATCTTTGGATAGCTGAGCACCATCAGCTTTCTTTACCACATTTGTTTATGCACACATTTGTCTTCAGCCATCTTGTTGGGAAGGTGAGCATCATGTGGGCTTATTAGAACAAAGTGTTCTTGCCTTGAGGGAGTACTTGAGTAGAGGGAGGGAGTACTTGAGTAGAGGACCAATGTCCGTTGGCTGTCTTAATGTTTAATGTGTAAATGTATGTACATATATCTATTTCTCTATCATTATGTATAAATATATTTACAAGTTTACATGCCTATATTTAGACCTCTATAAATGTCCTTTGCCTCCTCATTCTTTCCTCTATTTCCTTTTACTTTCCTCTTGTCCCATTCTCATGTTCTCATTCGGGTTTCAATAATTACTCTCAGCGACATTGCCCTTGTTTAAGGGCCACCAGGCATCCCACGCTCTCCTCCTGATCAGTTTTAGATCACTTGTTCTTTTAGATCAATTTTAGATCACTTTGTTGTTCCCTGTCCCTGCATTTGTTGGCACCCTTTCCTTTATCCCACTTCTCCCTCTCCCGTGTCTACCCCCCTCCCCCTCCAAACATCGTTCCCATTATTTTCTCCTCTGGATTGTTCATCCAGCCTATCTTATCTAGATAGACATGCAGAGACAATAATAAGCACAAAAACAAGACAAATCCAAACAAAACAACAAAAGTAAAAAACAACAACAACAAAACAACAATCATTGCCAAAAAATGACATAAAAAGAAAAGCCTATAAATAGTTCCAGGTCTGTTTGTTGACCTTTAGGAATGTATTCTGCTTGAGTCTGATGGGGTGCCATGCCCAAAGTCTGTTTTCGGTATTCCCTTGGGACTTCCTTGCTCTGTTCCCCTTGCTGCTCTATTGCATGCCCTTAGTGTTTCACCCTGGTGTGGTGGAGTCAGAATGGACACAATTCCCTGTGCCTCTAGTGTTGTTCCCCATAGTGCTCTGGGTCAGTGAGGGACATTGTGTCTTATAGTGGGACTCGGCCTGTGGTCCTCTCTGTGCATTGGCTGCTCTGAGCAGGAATATAGTCCTTGGGGCTTGGTGGGCCAGGATGTGTTCCACTCTCTCTCCTTCCCTTTTCGTTTGCTCCTGTGTTCTCTGATTAGATGTGCCCTTCTCTATGAGCTGTAGCTTCAGTGCTGTCCTCTGAAGTGCATTCTTCTTGGGGTGGGGGTGTCCATGTAGTTGGGATTGGGGCCAGCCCTGCAGACCTCTCTATTGGTTAGCTGCTTGATGCCAGAATGTGGCATTCATGCTAAGACTAAAGATTTTTTACAGGAGTAGAAAGTCTTTATCTTTATCCTGTGGACTGGCTGGTGGTTTTGAATTGTAGACCTTGTAGGTAGCAGCCACAAGGGCTCATATTTTAACTGTTTTCTAACAGTAATCCCAAACTTCAGTTGTTACTCCTTACATTTATAGAATTCCTTTACTTCACCATCAAGTGCATGTAATAAGATAGTATATGATATCACATCTATAAATGTTGCTATTGTATTTCTCATATTGTTCATTATTACTTTTATGCTTATGTTTCCCTAGACAAAATATTAAAATGTTGTAAAAATTTATTTCTTTTTTCCCAGAAAAGGTATATTTGATGAATACAGCCAGATAACCAGTCTTGTTACAGAGGAAATAGTGAATGTCCATAAAGAAATTGAATTGTCAGTCGAACAGATTGATCCTTGCACAGAATATAATAATTTTATAGATGTTCACAGGTATGATATTTTAATTCATTTTTCTTAGCATTTAACAGTATTATACATTCTTATATAGTATTTAATAAAATTGTAATATATATGTAAGAGCATAGAATATTTTTGATGATTTAGTTTATTTTAAAGTCCTTTTTCATTGATGATTATTTATAGAATTTATATAATATAGAATTTATTATATATTTATATATATTTATATTATATACTTATAATATTTATATATATTTCTTATATATTATATAGAATTTATAGATGATATTTAGATATTTTTTATTTGTTACTAAAAATGTTAATGGCATAATTATATAACCGATCTATAAAAATAGTTTATTTTTAACATTTGTATAATAATAATATTGCTTTGTAAGTATATTTAACTTTATACTGCACCAATAGTTTTTCCATGAAGGAATTATCTAATATTCTACTTATTACAATTGTGGCAGGAATAAAGTGATTAATATCTGGGTTCTACACATAAGAAAACTAAGGCTTAAGTTACATCAGTGGATCATGGAAGGTTATTGTTTGGTGGGTACTAAGATATTTTAATATAATGTAATCATATTGATCAAAATTATTCTTTATCAGAACAACAGCTGCTAAAGAACAAGATATAGAATTTGATACTTCCTTACTAGAAGAAAATGAAAGTCTTCAGGCAAATGAGATCATGTGGAATAATTTAACAGCAGAAAGTTTGCAAGCAATGTAAGTATTCAGAAAGTAGCTTAAATATCTGTTACTTTTGCTATATGGTTGTACTTTATGAGATTTAAAATTCCTTTTGTTTTTATAAATCATTTTATTGGTGGGTCATACAGCTATTATCACAATTCATACATAAATGTATAATGTCAAGCACATTTGTATATATGTTGCCATCATCATTTTCAAAACATTTTCTTTCTACTTGATCCCTTAGTATCAGTTTATTTCCCCCCTATCCCACCCTCCCTCTCTCATGAACCCTCGATAATTTATAAATTATTATTTTCTTTCATGTCTTACACTGACTGATGTCTCCCTTCACTCACTTTTCTTTTGTCCCTCCTACTAGGATGGAGTTATATGTAGATCATTGTGATTGGTTTCCCATTTGCCCCCCCACCCCCTCCCCCTCCTGGCATGGCCACTCTCATTATTGGTCCCGAGGGGTTTATCTGTTCTGGATTCCCTGTGTTTCCAGCTCCGATCTGTACCAGTGTAGGTGCTCTAGTCTAGTAGGATTTATAAGATAGAATTGGGGTTCTGATAGTGGGGGGGAAGACACATTAAAGAACTAGAGGAAAGTTGTGTGTTTCATCGGTGCTACGCTGCACCTGACTGGCTTGTCTCTTCCTTGTGACCCTTCTGTAAGGGGATGTCTAATTGTCTACAGAAGGCTTTGAGTCTCTACTCCGTACTCCCCCTCATTCACATTGATATGATATTTTTGTTCTGGGTCTTTGATGCCTGCTACCTGATCCCATTGACACCTCATGATCACACAAGCTGGTCTGCTGCTTCCATGTTGGTTTTCTTGCTTCTCAGTTAGGTTGCTGCTTGTTTATCTTCAAATTTCCTTTTTTTTTTTTAAAGAGAAAAAAGTAAGTTAAAATTGAGTTGATTTTTGCTTAATCATCAAAGTGAAATCTTTGGACAGATATACTACTTTGCTAACACTGGTAATTCATAAAAGCAAAAATTCTATATACTACTACTTTAATTGATATGCTACTTGTTAGAGACTACACTGAAATAATTCCTTATTATCTTTGGAATTTATTATTTAAATTATATTTTAATTCAAGAGAAAATGGGGTGCATAATCATTTCTAGGTGCTGTTTTCACATAGAGGTCAGCTTACATAATGGAAATGAATTTGGAAATGAATTTTTGAAATGAATACACCACTAAGTATGACAGCCTTTTGGAACTCATCATTGTCAAAAGCCTTTAGTACAAACAGTTGACTTTAAAAAAAATCATTTTATTGGGGGCCCATACAACTCATCACAATCCATATACATATATCCATTGTATGTCAAGCACATTTGTATATTTGTTGCCCTCATCATTCCCAAAACATTTGCTTTGTACTTGAGCCATTGGTATCAGCTCCTCATTTTTTCCCCTCCTCCCTTCCTGCTCCCCATCCCTCATGAGCCCTTGATGATTTATAAATTTTTATTATTTTGTCAGACCTTACACTGTCGATGTCTTTTCAATGAGTTTTTTTTTTTCTTTTCTTTCTGTAAACAGGCCTGTTTTCTATTATGGGCTAATACAGCAATTCCTTTATTACTGTTGCAATTTTCAAAGTAGTTTGAGAAATTTTAATGTGTTTTTAGCAACTTTCAACATTAACAGCAATTAATAGTACATTTGAATTTGGAAACATAATTAAGACATTCTACATTTAATTATTTAACCTGTCTCGATTTTGTTGAGGAGGAACACAAACTTGTATTTGTTAAAAAACACTATGTAAGCTGACCTCTGTGAAAACAGCTCCTAGACATGATTATGCTGCACCCCATTTTCTCTTCAAATTTGGACATGCTATATCATTTCCCCTGTTAGAATTTAATATAAAATGACTCAGCCAAAAAGTACAATTAATTTGTCACATGTAATGTAATTAAACCTCCTTTCTATTGTTCAGTAACATTGCCATGCTATCAATAATTAACTTAGTGGTAGTAGCACACTCTTATAGTGACCGTGTACAACACGGTAGAACTGTCCCTGTGAGTTTTTGAGGTGCTAACTCTTTATTGTAGTAGAATGTTGCTGCTTTCTCTTGTAAAGCTGGTGGTGGTTTTGAACTGCTGATATTACCGTTAGCAACCCAATATGGAACCAAGATACCACCAGAATGGACATTATGGCAGTGAGTTTGGTTATGGTTTGTGTAGCACCGTGGGACTAGCTCTTGGGAAGGAATTTGAGGTCTTTCAAACTGGCCAGATGAGATTGAAGAAACTAATAAATGATTGCCAAATCATATTACCAGATAATTATTGTGGGCTCACTGCTGATGAAAGAAATGTAGGTATTGAAGTGCCCTACATTAGAGTTTCATTAGCAACCAAGTTTGGATTTTTGAGTAGGTTACCAAAATTTTTAAAGCTTTCACATGATTTTCACTTTGACCACTGACTTTGGCTATATTATCATAATCACTGCCATCTCTTTGATGCTGACTCATAGTGAACCTATAGAACAGGGTAGAACTGCTCCTGTTGGTTTCTGAGACTAACTCTGTGAGAGTTGAAAACCTAGTCTTTCTCCTTTGGACCACCTGGTGGTTTTGAACTGCTTACCTTTTGGATCACAGTCCAACTCCTAACTACTATGCCACCAGCGCTCTCATATTATCATAAGGTCAACTAGTAATATGTCAGTGGTTCTTGATTAGGGCAAAATTTCTTTTGCCCCACAGGGGACATTTGGTAATATAAGGTATCTTGATGTTAGAGGTTAGGGATGCTGCGAAACACCACCAAGCCACAGGATAGGCTCCCCAACAAAGAATGACCTGGTCCTGAGTTTCAGCAGTGCTAAGGCTGAGAAACCCAGCCCCAAACAATAGAGCTGAATGCATGACATAAAATGTATGCTAGAGTTTATCTATGTTTAATTCCTGTACTCCTTGTCATACATTCCTCTGTTTGTGTTATGACTATATTGGCCCCAAATAATTCATGTATCTATTCATCTAAATATATTTATTATATAGAAGGTTGCAAGAGTTAATACCTTGAAAGAACTTACAGTATAAATGATCAATTTATTTTAATTAATACCAAGAAAGGAGCATACAGATAGTGAAGCATTATGTGGTGAACTAAAAATACCTTGTTATTATAAGCTTATATAGAATAGGACCTTTTATGGTCAAATAATTTGTTTTA